CCAATTTGACAATAAATTTCATATATAAAAAAAAAAAAAGTGCTTAGTGCAATGCCAAGCTTATAATAAGCACTCAACAGGTAGCTAGTGGAACAACAGAAAGATAAATTATATCAATATAGCATGATAAGGGCTGTGATGAAGGTAAATCCAGGATACTGTGGGAGCAGAGAAGGGAAACATAAATCACTTTAGGGTGTGCATTCTCAGGTACGTGGTTACTGAGACAAGTTTTAAAAGAGTGACAGTTATCATATTGAACAAGGCTGGAGAGTAAGGCAGGGAGGTCTTCTGAGTTGAGGAAGTAGCATGTGCAGATCATTGGAGGCAAGAAAGCATGCCACTGAACTTGAATGGGTCAAAGCAAACAGACAGATGCCAGTGTGACCAGAGGGCAGGAGTGAACAGAGGTGGAGGCTGAAGTGGCAAGCAAGGCCAGGACACCAAGGACTTAGCATAGCCCCATAATATATGTGATATATATATATGATAGATATATATAATATATATATCTATCATATATATACCATATATATATGATTGATATATATATATGATACATATATATATGATTGATATATATATGATACATATATATATCATATATATACACACACATATATATGTATATATGTGTATATATATACATATATATGTATATGTGTATATGTATATATGTATATGTGTATATATATATATATACACATATATATATATTTATATAGACATAGTCCTGAGACTGTGGGAGCCCTTGGAGGTGCTCAAGCAAACTGCCTTTGTCCGAAGGCCGCCCTAGTTATAGCTTAGAAGATGGATCAGAGATGGGGTTTCAGAGCACAGACAAGGTGGGAGCATGGGAGAACAGGTAGAAGCCACTGAAATGGGACAAGTGAGAACATTTGAGTCATGTCTTCTCAAGCTTTCTGTTTCTTTTTCTGACATGCATGCAAGCCATATCCTGCCTACCTCAAAGGTGGGGGAAAATTAATAAAAATAGCCACTTAGACTAGAGGTTGGCAGACTTTCTGTAAAGGGCCAGATAGTAGGTATTTTCAGTTTTGCAAGGCCTGTGGTGTCTGTCACACCTATGTAGCTTTGTCATTGCAGCACAGAAAGCAGCGAAATAAATATAAAATGAGAGTGTGACTATGTTCCAATAAAACTTTATTTCTGGACATTGAAATGTGGATTTTGTATAATTTTTGTACACCATAAAGTATTACTCTTCTTTTTGTTTCTTTGTCCCCCAACCATTTAAAAATATAAAAACCATTCCTAGCGCATGGCCACACAGGGAACTGTGGGAAGCTGGATTTGACCCATGAGCCATAGTTTACTGACCTCTGACTTAGTATGTGCTTTGAAAATGGCACAGTTCTTCATACCTTAAAGGGAGGAATATTATGATGACAACTAAGTGGTAGTTACATTTTATAGTATTTCATGACCTCGATCAAGCTTGGAATTTTTGAAATTATGTATTTCCTATTTACCAGTTGGTCTGGAACACCCTACCTCTCTCTCCATTTGCATAAGGGCTTTATACAGTTTTGTTGATGAATCAGTAGAGGAACATGCAGCCTTTTACCAAGCATAAGACACCTTACTGCCTTTTGTATCATTTTCTTTATAGAGACAAATGGTTGGTTTCAGAGGGCAGGAGCATTAGTCATGCAAACCAGGGTTGGAATACTGCATCTGCCAGTTGCTAGTTGTGTGATCTTGAGCAATTTACAGTAGTTCTCTGGTTCATGTATTCACTCGCCCATTTATCCAACAAATATTCACAGAGTACTTACTACATGCCGGGTATGAGATTGCCTAGTAAATGGAACGCTGTGACTACCTTCAAGGAATTTACAGAATCAAGGAGAAGTCAGCCATTAATAACACGGGAAGGTTATCACTGTATAAAGGGAAGACTAGGGTGTGATGAGAAAACAGAGTGGGCCATCTTCTCCATTCATGGTGAGATGCTCAAGACTCCCAATAAAGGAATTCCAAACTGATTTCCTGAAGGATGAACAGTTGCCAGCCAGGTAAAGGGGCAGGAAGGGAGTGCATTCCACACGAGGTGATGAGGCTGGGTAAGGCCTACAGATAAGAAGATAGGGGGCTGTTGATAACAGAGAAGATTTCATTGCCCTTTGGGCAGAGAGTGTGGACCAACAGGCAAGGATCTGTCATTGAGGGTCTGCGAGGTGGTGGAGGGGATTTGACATTTACCTTTCTCATGCCCTTCAGCTGAAGGGTGGAGAGTGGATTGATAGGGGGCAAGACCGGAGACAGGAAGACCAACAGGAGGCTGCTTAGGTAATCCCCAGTGAAATATGAGGGTGGCCTCAACCAAGAGGAAATGAAATTGGAGAGAAGGAGGAGGAAGAGGCTTCCAGAACCTTCCTGGAATATAATGACTAAGGCATGCTGAGTAATTAGAAGTGGGAGGTCAGTAAAAAGGAGGGGTAAAGGATGACTCCCAGATTGCTAGACCAAGGCGCTACGTGGGTGGGGCCACCATTTACTAAGAAAGCAGGGACTGGGAGAGAAGACACCAAGTGGAAAGATGATGCGTTCATTTGTAACAATACTGACCTTTCTGGGATGCTCTCAGTCTCAGAAACATTGTGTGTGAGGTACCTGGCGTGTCGTGGGGCCTTGATAAATGCTGAATCTTATTCTCGTTTCATTTTTAAAAATCTTTTTCAGGCCTTGTTGTGTTAGATCACGATGTTCTTTTGCTGTTTAGTGTGAGCTCTTCAGAGCCACAAGAACTATGGTTTTGTTCACCGTGCCACACGTTTTCATGTGTGTTTCTTTCTCTCCTTCTCTTCTGCATGCTGCCTGGGGACTGGCTTCCTTGTGGTCAGCACCAATGGGCAGCGCCCAGGTGACCCCGGGGACTCCACTCTGCCTCCTCACCACAGGTGACCATCAGAGCCCTGGGCGGGTGGGAAGGGATTGAGAGTGGCCCATGCTCAGGGCATCCTCCAGGCCAGGTGCCCCAGAGAGGAACTGGCAGTCCCTCCACCCCACGCATCCATCTGCCCACCTATTCTTCCAGCCACCCACCCATTCACCCATCCACCCATCTCTTCATCCCTCCTTTCATTCATGCATCTATCCACTCATCCATTCTAATGCTTACTACTAAGTACCTGCTGTGTGCCAGGCGCTGTTGCAGGCATTGAGGCATACAACGATGAGGCAAAAAAGACATGTTCCTGTGACTTTCTGGGAAGGGAAAGAGCCACACAAATCAGTGTACAACTGTAACCATGAGTAGTGCCACAAACGAGAGGTATGTGGTGTTCAAAATAGACAAACACATATACCTGGAGCAAAGGGAGTGTGTCCCCAGGAAGTGACAACTTAGCTGTGGTCTGAGGTTAGGGAAGAAGTTGACCTACTACGTCTGTGCTTAGGAAGTAAATAGATCAGGCTGTGATCCCAGGCCTACCATTTGTGCCAGACAGGCCCTTTATTTTTTTTAACGTTTATTTATTTATTTTTGAGAGAGAGAGAGAGCAAGCAAGCACGCATGCACACACACAAGTCGGGGAGGGGCAGAGAGAGAGGGAGACACAGAATCTGAAGTGGGCCCCAGGCCCCAGGCTCCAGGCTCCAGGCTCCAGGCTCCAAGCTCTGAGCTGTCAGCGTAGAACCCGATGCAGGGCTCAAATCTACAAACCGTGAGATCATGACCTGAGCCAAAGTTGGATGCTTAACTGACTGAGCCACCCAGGCACCCCTGGGACAACCCCTTTCAGTGTGATGATCTCTACTTCTCCTATGTGTGAAGCAGGAGTAGAGTAATCATGGTTACCTCTTAGGGGGCGCCATTTTCTCGCAGTCTCTGCACAGGCAGTGTCTTCTGGAGGTGTACTCCAAAACCATACAAGATGGCGAGTGTAAGAAGGGCTGGTATGGGAGTGCCCAGTCCAGAGTAGGCATATGTTTGAAGTAAATACCAGCCCCTTCCATCGAATACACTGCAGTTTGATCTCATGTCGCATAAACATCCATTGCTCTTCAGAGACTGGGCTGCAGAGCCCATCTGTGTCAGAGGCTAATGCCCATTTCAGGGCCTGATAGACAAGGGATGCTGCTGACCTACAGATTCTACCTCAGGTGCTCATTCTTGTCATTACAGTCGTTGGCGATTTCAAATCTTTTACTGTCACCTCTCTCAGAGTTGTTGCTCAGACAATGGCCTCCTCTCTACTGGTCCCTGACTGGCTAGTTTGTCATAGGGAGAAAGGGGGTGCGGCAGGCAGTCATGACAGGAGTCTGGCCATCCAGTACCTCACAATCCTCTACTGTCCACCCCCTTTCCCAAATTCAGAAATATCACTGCTGGGGCACCTGGGTGGCTCAGTTGGTTAAGCATCCAACTCCTGATTTTGGCTTAGGTCGTGATCTCATGGTTCCTCAGTTCAAGCCCCATGTCAGGCTTTGTGCTGACAATGCAGAGCCTGCTTAGGATTCTCTCTCTCCCTCTCTCTCTCTCTGCCCCTCCCCCACTCATGTTCTCCCTCCTTCCCTCCCTCCCTCCCTCTCTCTCTCTCTCCACACACACACACTCTCTCTCTCTCTCTCTCTCAAGATAAATAAATATTAAAAAAAAAAAGAAATAGCACTGCTAATGAATGTCTCTGGGTTCTCTAGACACAGAGCCTGAGATAGGGATTCTTGTGCAAATCATCCATGGAGGAGTATTCTCAGAAGAAAGTGAGGAAGACAGGGTAGGGCAGGGAAGAAACTAAGGGAGGATGTGGAGGCCTGTGTCAGCCTGAGCCCACAGGGGCCTCTGGAGTGTGGGAGCTGCCCCCACCTTGAAGTCAGGGGCCAGCAGTTGTGCCACTGTGTCAGCCAGCCATTGGCCACGGGCTCCCGTGTGAGTGCACAGCCTCCTGGAGAGGCAGCTCACCTCCGCCTTACGGCACTTCTGCCGAGAAGGAGGTATCTGTGAGCCTTTAGCAGCCAGGACGCTTGGCAGATAGAGATGAGGTGCACCCGCCCTGGAGAGGAGATCTGGGCAGACCCTCCATGTAGCATTTGCTACAGCCCGGCCCAGCTTTCCTCCATAGCCACCTCCATAGCTCAGCGTATCACTGCCCACGCCCCAGGAGTGTCCTCCTAGCCACTCATTACCTGTGTGACTTTAAGCAAGTTGCATAGGCTTTTTTCACCGGCAAATCTAATTGTCACACTTCACAGTCATTTTACCGATGATGATTAGGGGACCCTGGAGAGTGCCCTGCTCCAGAGCAGCACATAGTAGGCCTTCAGGAAATGTCAGTCTCCTACTATCCCCCCATCATAGGCCCACCAGCCTCACCCTCACCCTCACCCCCAGGGCTGTGTGGTCAGAGTAAGGGGCCAGTGACTCCACCCCTGTGCCCACACCCACTTTACTGAGAAACCGTGCTTCTCCAGAGCAGGTGAGGGAGCTCCATTTCCACTGGGCCATTGTTCTCTGGGATCTATTCAAGTCGAGCAGCCTGATAATGTTTTCTTTAAACAGAGCCAATTCTGTATCAGGCACATTTGTTCTTACCTCTTGCCTCTGAGGTGTCTGAATGTTCCTCCTCTGACAGGTTTATTTCATCGTGTTCCATTGGTTTCTCGGCCTCATTTGATGGGTGAGGTGCCTGCGAGTGTTTCTCTTTGAGCAGAATGTCCCTTTCAAAGGGTGTTTTTGTTAATGCTCTTCCCCTGGTAGCAATAAGGGCTCGTGTAAATAATAACTGTCGGATGTGAATGACGAGGAGTTTAGACCGTGCACACAGGCTGCCTCATTTCAGATCAGCAGCAGCTTGGAGAACTATGGAGCCACGTTGTGTGTCAGGGACAGGCTGGCATTTGGAGTCGAGGCTGTGTTCAGCTCTCGGCTCTGCCCCAGTTCTGGCCTGGCAATGGTGGGCAAGCAGTTTCTTTTCTCTGGGCTCCCTTCTTTTCCGGACAAGTGGGGATAGCAGTGCACCCGGCCATAGTTAATGGGGAGAGCGAAGTATGATAGCAGCCTTAGCTTCCTTGCTCAGCTAACTCTGACTAGCTCTTCAGGTCTCTGACTCCCTGACCTCGCCTTCAGAGAATCTATGTTCAGGGACAGGGCTTGTCACCCTCGGCACTAGGGACACTTGGGGTGGGTAATTCTCTGTGGTGGGGGGCTGCCATGTGCATGTTAGGATGGTCAGCGGTACCTCCGGCTTCTACCCACTAGATGCCAGTAGCACTTCGTCCCTCAATTATGACAACCAAACATATCTCCAGACAGTCCCCCAGGTCCCCTGAGGGACAGTAGCTCCCCCTCTTGAAATCCTTCAGAGCTGCACTGTTCAATAAACATAGAACTTGAACCATGTCTGTAACTTTACATTTTTACAGAAGTGTTTATTTTTGAGAGAGAGAGA